AATTTCATCTGCACATCCATCCATGGAAGACAATTTTCCCCCAAAAATTGGTCCCTGGTACCAGAAAGTTGGGGACCGCTGCAGTACAGGAATAGTAATAGCAGACTTATATACCACCCCATAGTGCTTTACAGCACTCTCTAAGCAGTTTATAATGTCAGCATATTGCCCCCAACTACCGACCTCGGAAGGATGGAAGGCTGTGTCAACCTTGAGCCCATCAGACGTAGCTTTTTCTCCAGGCATTTGGGTCCTAGTGATTTCAGTTGTTTAGTTATCATGTTCGGTTGCCATTTTATCTACTGCATTTTTTTTAACATTCGGTTTTTTGTGTATATGTATATGGTTTATTGCCTTTTTTTGTTGTTGTTGAACACTGTCAGAATCATATTGTTTTGGGCAGCTCTGTAAATCCTATGAATAAATAAACAAAGCTGTTCCCTCTCAAGTACTTGATTAAAGCTGGTGTTGATTTTTTTTTGTTAAAGCATATATATGCTTATATTTATTAGTCTATAGTTGTATAAACATGAATACAAAATTGATTTGCAGACTCCCTGATACCTAACATTTCAGGACTTTTATTTTGGTAAAAAGTGCTTCTGATCCAGAAGAACACGGTGAAGTTATGTCACCTTGAATTTTAAATGCTTCTAGTTTTTAGCATATTTTTCAAATAAATCGGCAGCTTTTGACATCTTTATAGGATGCTATAAAGTAGCCATTTGCTCATTTTTCAACCAAGGCTGGGAAAAAAACATACAATTTTATTGCCCTAAAAAGTATGTACTTTTAATATAGCACATGAGCCTAACTGGGAATATAGAATCTGCCATACTGTAGTTAATATAAAATTAACGGGACAGTGTTTAAAGCCGTGTCCCACTGAAAGACATTTTTACTTTCTGAAATTCAGATTTCTACTCCCAGACATGATTCATAGTCCAACCTATCTGTATATTAAGTTTTTAATTTATGGGTTCTATAATGTTTCTGAAATGGAAAACCAGGTAACATCATCAAAGGATTTAAGCTATCATATCAACATAGCAAAAGAGAGCCAGTTTGGTCTAGTGGTTAAGGCAACAGGCTAGAAACCAGAGGACTATTGAGTTCTAGTCCTACCTTAGGCATGAAAGCCAGATGGGTAACTTTGGACCAATCCCTCTCTTTCAGACCAACCCATCTCACAATGTTGTGGTAGGGAAAATAGGAGAAGAAAAGTGTATTAGGTACGCTCTCCACCTTGAGTTATTTATAAAAATTATTTATTTATTTATTTCAATTTGTATACCGCCCTTCTCCTAGTGGACTCAGGGCGGTGAACAGCCAGAACTAAAACACATGCCAATACAAAATTTAAAATTATTAAAAGAATTACATAACTGGCCCAATTTAAAACAATTCAATTAAAACCCAATGACAATTTAAAAACTAAAAAACTAAAAAAGACTAAAAAAGGGGGAGGGGGTTCACGCCAGCCCTGCTTGATGGAAAAGAAAAGTTTTCACGGCACGGCGAAAGACCCGGAGATCCGATATCCTTCGTATCTCCGGGGGCAAATCGTTCCAGAGGGCAGGAGCTGCCACAGAGAAGGCCCTCCCCCGGGGGTTGCCAACCGACATTGCCTGGCTGACGGCACCCTGAGGAGTCCCTCTCTGTGGGCGCGTACTGGTCGGTAATAAAGGCAGGATAAAAAAATATGCATTACACTTTTTGTCAAGAAGGCAGTGATACTCAGAAAAGAGGAGGATGGCTATCTATATAATACTGAAACTTAAGTTATCATGACTTTTAAAGGAAGGAAAGGAAGGAAGGAAGGAAGGAAGGAAGGAAGGAAGGAAGGAAGGAAGGAAGGAGCCCTGGTCATGCTTGAGAATGGGCAGGGATTCTGCAGGGTGCCACTGCTCAGTGTAAAAGGCTGACATTTGTTCTACATGCATATACTTTCATAATGTTGATGTTTCCTGGGTTTCCATAATTTTCATAGATAATGATTCTGCCATTTATTGGCTTACAAGAAGTTCATAATTTACAAGCATTTGTTTAGTGACCGTTCAAAGTTACAATGGCATTGAAAAAAGTGGAATGAACATTTTTCACACTTAAGATCATTGAAGCATCCCCGTGGTCACGTGGTGGCAACTAGCATGCTTTATTTATTTATTTATTCAAATTTCTATACCGCCCTTCTCCTTTCGGACTCAGGGCGGTGAACAGCCAGAAATAAAACATTTTATATACAAAAGTTAGAATAAATTTAAAATAATTAAATAAATTTGGCCCATTAATTTAAAACATTCCAATTAAAAGCCATATCAAAATTTATTAAAACCAATCATAAAATGAGGACAGCCCGGCTAACTGAAAAAAATAGGTTTTGAGGGCCCAACGAAAAGTCCGGAGGTCTGGGATCACTCATATCTCTGGGGGTAGATTGTTCCAGAGGGTGGGTGCTACCACAGAGAAGGCTCTCCCCCTGGGGGTTGCCAGCCGACATTGCCTGGCCGACGGCACCCTGAGGAGGCCCTCTCTGTGGGAGCGAACTGGCCGGTGGGAGGCAATTGGTGGCAGGAGGCGGTCCGGTAGATACCCCGGCCCTAAGCCATGGAGTGCTTTAAAGGTGATCACCAACACCTTGAAGTGCACTCGGAAGTCCACCGGGAGCCAATGCAGCTCGCGCAGGAGAGGAGTCACATGGGAGCGCCCGGTCGCTCCCATAATCCCCCGCGCGGCTGCATTCTGCACCAGTTGGAGCCTCCGGGTGCACCCCAAGGGGAGCCCCATATAGAGAGCATTACAATAGTCCAGACGAGAGGTGACGAGCGCTTGAGTAGGGAGTCCCGATCCAGAAAGGGGCGCAACTGGCGTATCAGGCGAACCTGATAGAAGGCCCCCCTGGCCACGGCCATCGTATGCCCTTCTAAAGACAGCCGTGCATCCAGGAGGACACCCAAGTTGCGGGCCCTTTCCGTGGGGGCCAATGATTCGCCCCCAATAACCAGCCAGAAAGTCAAGTTGAAGGAGTGAGTGGTCAGACTATGACAAGGGTTTGATGCCTATATCCCCTATATCAAGGCCACTCAACCACTGACCAGAGATAAAAACTAAGTCCAGAGTGTATCCACCCATGTGAGTAGGGCCGTGAATTACTTGAGTCAGGTCCATGGCCGTCATGGAAGCCATGAACTCCCGAGCTACCTCAGACGTTTCACCGACAGATGGCAGGTTAAAATCCCCCATGACTAGAAGTCTGGGGGTATCAACTGCCACCTGTTGAAGGTTAGATTGTTCTGGGGTCATGTGATCACCTTTTGCAACCTTCTGACAAGCAAAGTCAATGGAGATGCCAGATTCACTTAACAAACATATTACTGCAGTTACTTAACAACTGCAGTGATTGACTTAACAACTGTGGCAAGAAGGGGCAAAATTCCTGTAACAACTGTCTTGCTTAGCAATGAACATTTTGAGCTCAGTTGTGGTCATAAGTCAAGAACTATCCGTACTAGATAACCTGCACACCTTTAAGTCATCATTCCAGACATATTTCCATACATAAATAGAGAAACAAAAAAATGGGAATGACCTCCGACTTCCTGCCAACTTCCTTATTGAATTTCTTTGTAGAAAGCTGACAAGGAGCATCAGAAATCTTCCTTCCTTCCTTCCTTCCTTCCTTCCTTCCTTCCTTCCTTCCTTCCTTCCTTCCTTCCTTCCTTCCTTCCTTCCTTCCTTCCTTCCTTCCAGCATGATGACAAGTTTTACCACTGTATAAATAGTCATCCTCATCCTTTCTGGGTCTCTCTCCCAGTCCATTCCTTCAGATTAGACAAGTGACTTCATTATATTAACAATTTGAGTTAATGTGGCCTAATCCAATCTGAATCTGAATCTAAAATAGTTCTACAGAACCATTACAAGATAATTGTTAATTAAAAAGTTAACTCGATTTTTTTTTCTCTACCTGTGTTTGATGGTGTAATCTGGGTTTTCGTTTGTTTGTTCTGGTTTTGTTGGTTTTTTTTACACTGAGTATTTCAGTTCAGGCAGGCATTTGTGACCAAAGTTACCATATTTTGGAGACAATGAAAGTTACATGTATGGCTTTTTGTAGCCTTTCGTGGTAATGTATTCATCCATTCCGGTCATCACTTCAAGCTACATTTTTATGAATTTATAAGTGTGCATTAATAAATATAAATCAAGTTGTAGCTTTTACGTGAATATAATGAATTTTCCTATATTTAACTTCCAGGCAAAGATTATGATAAGGAGTAGATGGATTGCATATTGCTCTACATATGCACAAATATTTTATATCTGGAAGTGAAGTGGTGCCTTTAAGGAATTTGCATTCAGGCTTGATCTTCTCCATCCCCCCTCCCTAGAGAAAGAAAGATATTTTGTTTGGGAATCAAATGAGATAATGTGATAGTCACAAATTCTTTGAAGTTCCATGGCTTCTTCTCTAAATAACCTCCTTTGTAAAATGAATGCTTATGTATTCCAATCCTGAAAGTGTATTTTTCCATAAATAAACGGTGTAGTAAGTAGTAGAAAGAAATATGTTTGACTAGAATCAAAGAAGCAGGAAATAAGTAAAAAATACTTCTGTTCAAATGTTCATAACATTCTTTAATAGGATTTAATTAAAGTGATTTAGTACTTTTCAGTCATGTTATGTTTTAATGTATCTTAGAATTTACCATTTACATATGCAATACAAACATTACATATATTGCTATTTAACTCATTATAGTCTAAATCATTTAGTACTAATATAATATAGAGTGATCGGAGATGGACTGTATACAAAACCAGGTGAACGTATTAGCAAAACTAACCAGAATACAGCAGGTTCAAAATTAAAAAAAAACACTTTTATTTAATGTTAGAGAATAGTAGTAGTAATAATCAACACTTGAAATACATTCCTTTTTTGTTTTTAGTTAAACCATATGTGAAATCTGACATATTTTTTTCCTCCTAACTTTTAGAAGAACCAAATTGCTTGCTGATGCATTGAAATCATTTGATCAGTTGCTAAAATGTTCAAAAATGAGTATCAGGTAAGGGAGAAATATTTCTGTTGTTTTGTCCTTATTTAGAAAGAAATGAAAAAAGATACTAGCATTGCAGTAGTATGTAATATTGAGTGAAAAGTCCTTAGATATATAAATATTCTCTATTTGTCTCTTTTTTGAAAACTTGAATAGGTGTCTCCAAATTTTTAACTGCTTATAATTGGTTTTTGTCACTCTCAACCTTATCTACTTTTTTATCTGATCTGAAAACTTGAAAAAAAAAAAGACAAGATTACAATCAGGAAGTAATTAACATTATGGATGACAATTGCAGATATAAAATCTTTGACAGTGCATTCCAGGCAGAATTCCTGTTACTTTTCAACTATTCATTTAATAAAAAATTATATGCTTGACACTCTTAGTACACATTGTATATAAACTGCATATTCATAAGATATTACGTTTTTCCCTTGTCTTAGAAGAATTAAAGATGGAGACAATAACCACCATAGGGTAGTGAATAGAATGGTAGATTCAAAATCACCTTGATCACAAAATCCAATGTATGACTTTGAGTTGGTCAATCTCTATAAGTGTAATCAGTCTTACGGGGTTGTTATAAAGATGGAAGAAAGGTACTATATTCTGCCTTGCATTCCTTAAGAGAAAGAGGAAATAGTAGTCTGCTAAATAGCTTTTAGCATACCCAGCAACTGCCACAGAATGAAGAACTGCCAAGTGGGTCGGGTCTTCATAATTCCTCTCTGGACAAGAAGAGGATTTGAAATTACCCATAAATACTCCAGACAGTAGCTCCTCACTTAGAAACTGCAGGATAGCCATCTCTGGTGAGTTTAAAGTTATGAGAGAAGAAAGAATAGCCATCTTTTCCCTCAAACTGTGATTGGCACCTTCAAAAGGACACTGGGTTCACATACTTCCTTTTCTCATCACTTTTGGAAATTGCTTCTTAACAGTTTTCTGCTATTAGGAACCTTTGTATTGCCATGTTTAATAGCACTGGGTGAATTTCCTTCAATCTTTAGTGAAAGAAGTTTTAAATGCAAATGTAAGGACTTAAAAATTATTTTGTAATAAACAGCAAAAGTTTGAGTAAAACTTTGATTTTTGAAAACAGATTAAGGGTGGATTTGAAATAAGGTTTTGGAATACATTATAAGAATCCTTTCCATGGAAAAAGGTTTTTGTTTTGAAATCTCTTAAAGAAACAGAATAAGACTTTGAAGGTTGGACACTGGAGGAAACCAGAAGGAACTAAAGATAACAATTAAAGGAGACAGACATTTAAATTTGACTTACAGAATAGAAGAAAAGATTTTAACATTCAGCATATCAAATGATATTTTTGAATAATAGGTTCAGAAATTAAATTTAATATATAAATAGAGTTTACAAAATGTTAAGGAAGAGCAACAAGTTTTACTGAACAAGACTGTAATTGATTTGAAAGTGGACTTAAAATGACAGGCTGCAAGAATGACATGGAAAAAGAGCCACACAGGACATGTAAAAGAAATCAGCTGATGTCTTAATAATTAAAAAGGGATATACAAATAACAAATCAAAAGAGTTTCCATTTTTTTCTGAACTTTTATTTATTTATTTATTTATTTATTTATTTATTTATTTATTTATTTTTTATTTATTTATTTATTTATTTATTTATTTATCAAATTTCTATACCGCCCTACTCCCGAAGGACTCAGGGCGGTGAACAGCCAAGATAAAATACAGATAATACAAATATTAAAAATCCCTTAAAATTATTAAATATTTTGGCCGAAAAACAGATTAAAACACCCAATTTATAAAATCACGAATTAAAAAATTTAAAAGAGGAGAGTTAGGCCAGGCCAACCTGCTGAAATAGAAAAGTTTTGAGAGCACGGCAAAACGTGCGCAGGTCCGGGATTTTATTTTGATATTTTTTTCATTCTTTTCTGTTTTAGTTTATATTAGTTTTATTTTTGTAATTGTATTTTTTAATAAAATTACTAGGAAAAAACAAATAATATTTTTCCAATGTATTATTCTCTGTCTGAATTATAAAGTTTGTGGATATAGGTTTGGCAGCATATTTTCAGGTTGGATTGTAATATGGTAAAAGCTAATAGAAATATTTTCTGGAGAGTCCAAAAAATGACATAGCCACATATGATAGATAATTGATGTGGCTGGATAGACATTGGGGATGGCAGTGCGAGAAAGTTGGAATTCTTTAATTTGACCTTTTGGGCTCAAGGGATGGACTCGGTGGCTTAAATTATCCCTTCCAACTTTAAGGAATACAAACATTTAGGGAACTTATATATTTAATAGCTAAATAAATAAAAATAAACTTTTCCAGTATCGAAGGAATTTCTGCAGAGGACTCCAAAATCTTTAGAGTACACAGCTTGTTTTGAGGAGACTTTTTATCCCTTTTTGTCACTTTATGTGAGTTTGAAGTGGGTTCTAAAATATTTCAATCTCCTACCATATGAATTGCAGGTAAAATCCAATCTGACACTGATAATTGTCAGTGGTTGTGATCTTATTTGTATTTCAGATTGAATCCCACTCCTATATATTAGAGTGGTAGAAATAGCAGGACTGGTTTATCCTAGCTTTTTTATTAAGTGGGATTGATCATAGTTGATAGCCTTCAGATTAGATTATGGTAATGAGTTTATACTGAAGAATATTCAGTTCATCTAAAAAGCTACAGTTACTGGGACTTGGTATATAGAACATATTATTCCAAGTTATTTTTTCTCAACGTGAAAAGTTATATAGTGATTAAATAATAAGTGCCAAATGTATTCATTCCCTTTTTTTTTCAAAACTCAATGCAACGTGTTGGTTTCACAAATTGTAAAACTAAATACCCAATTTTCTACATACAAACAGTTTAAGAGTTAATATTAAAAACCAACATAAAGTATAGAACAATATGACCAACTCAGAAATGTTGTATTCTGCAGAATTTTAAAATATTCAATGTGTTTTGGATATGGCATTCTGGACAACACAGTTTATTTCAGGGTTTGAATTATCCCAGGATATCTCGGTTTACTTTACAAATGATTTACATCTGTAAATTGCAGAACCACCCTAAGAATGTCCAGAAGGGGAAAAAAATGTTCAGGACTTTTCTGGAATAGTCTGTTCCCAAATGAGTGAGCTTTGCACATCCTTAGTTATATCTCTATAACAATTTATATTGTAAAAAAAAATCCTAACATACAGTTAGTTGTCAGTCCCAAATAATGATCAACACTTTTATTCAGATGTGCATATAATAATGTCCAACAAAACAGCAACAAAAATCACAAACCCTCCATACTATTCAATACATACTATACCTCTCATTGCTACTCCCTTTCAAGATAAGCAGTTTCTTGCACAGCATAGAAAATGAGAAGGAAATCGTAAACACATGAGATAAGAGGAAAGGAAATAGAGCAGAATCTAATTTATACCAACACAGTTTGCTTTACCGCTATATGTCTCTATTCTTACCAACCCTTCCTTCCTTCTACCACAGCTTCATACACTTTCCTCTTTAAAATGCTCACTTCTTTCTCTTTGAGGATCTCATCAATTGTATGCCACCCTCCACAGGGTTTTTGTTCTCCTTGCTTTGGAGAAACTCATCCTTCACATATCAGTTTTTGCAATTTGATGCTCAATCATTTTGTCTGCATGCCTAACCCACACCAACAAACGTCTTTCATATTGATCACTCGAGTTTATATTCAAACCACGTTCATTTATCAGCCACTCTCCGCCTTCTTTGTTAACTTAATTTTTAGATTCATATTCCACGCTGCATACAATCTTTCCAACATTCACTGCAAGTTATTGCGGCTCTCATCCAACAATAAAGCATCGTTTGCATTCACAGCTCCAACAACACAGCTCTAATGTCCCTACAGTTCTTAAACATTAAACATAATTACATTAAACCATCAAGTGGCCATCAGAAATCCTAGTCTTACTTCCTTCACAAATCCAAAATATTTATTAAGCATGCCATTTATTCCCATAACAACTTCTTATCAAATAATGCTCTTGAAGATTTATTATTTCCTTATGCTTTGGACTGGGCATTAGATGAACCTGTTTTTTTTTAAAGGGTTTAATTGTGCAGAGTGGCCTGAGTGAGACATGCTTTTTTCCTTGCTGTTTTCATCTTTTTTGGTGTATTGAATTGAATGAGAGATTAGTTACCCAAGTCACACTACCAATTGAGCACCCAATAAATCTGTATTTTTTTCATTCACTTCTACTATTTTTCTTTTTACATTGAGGAACAATAATACATTCCTCCAACTGTCAGACTTCATACAAATGTTAAACAAGTCACACTGCTACTCTATAAGCAAATCATATCCATATTTAACATTATATTATCCACCCCTGCAGCCTTATTGCTTTTCAATATTCTCACGTCTTATGACTTTCATCTTCTTTTTTCTTGGATACTAACATTTACAGCATTCATTTCAGTTCCAGTCTTTGATGTATATCAGTGCCATGCTAACCTCTAAAATGTTTCTTCCAACATTCCCTCACTTCAATATCATCACCAGTGATTTCATCATTTTAATTTTTGATTTTGTTCATTCTCTTAGATGCTCCTTGTTCAACCCTTTTCACTCTCCAAACTCTTTCTCATTTCCATCAAAATTCTCCATTTTCTCACTCTTCTAAGCGTAACCATTCCTCTCAATAAATTATCTGCAGTTGTCTTTTTCTCTTTTTACACATGGTATGTCTTTTTCTCGTCCTCATTTTTGCTGTTGCCATTCGGTATGCATATTTTTCTCATCTGCAGCCTCTTTCAGTTCATTATTCTACCAAGCGTCTTTTTAATGCTCCCTATTAGCATAATTTCACATTTCTATGGCAGTCTGTAACATAATTCTTTTCTATTACAAGCAATTTCAGCATCACCTTTCATTACATTACTGTTGCCATATTATTTTTATTATTTTTTCTTACTTGTCCTGTATGCACTATTTTTTCCTTCCTTCTCTTCTTTCTTTCTTTTCTTTCTTTCTTCCTTCCTTTCTTTTTCTTTCTCCCTTTTTTCTCTCTCTCTTGTTCTTTCTTTCTCACTTTCTCTTTCTCCCTTCCTTCCTTCCTTCCTCTTTCTTTCTTTTTTTTTCTTTCTTTCTTTCTTTCTCTTTCTCTCTATGTCTCTATCTATCTATCTTTCTTTTTTCTTTCTCCTTTCTTTCTCTCTCTTTCTTTCTTTTCACAGTTTGATCAGTTAAACTTCCAAATAATGATCTGCTCCACATTCTGTACCTCTTATTGTCCTTATGTCCCGTATCACTCAGTCTTTCATTATAAACAATCAGTAAGTCATTATTTGGCCTTCTTTTCTTTTCCATATCTTTGCTCACTAGATGGCACTGTTTCACAGAAGGGACCTGGAGCATGGGACACTGTTAGATCTAGTGCAATGGACTGACACAGTGGGGTATAGGCAGTTCTGCAAATAACCAGGTCCTGTATCATGCAGCACTTTAGGATTATAGATTTATAGGTAACCCCAGCACCTTAAAATAATATGTTCTATTTAGGTAAAGGTAAAGGTAAAGATTCCCCTCATCCATATGTGCTAGTCATTCCCGACTCTAGGGGGCGGTGCTCATCTCCGTTTCAAAGCCGAAGAGCCAGCGCTGTCCGAAGACGTCTCCGTGGTCATGTGGCCGGCATGACTAAACGCCAAAGGTGCACGGAACGCTGTTACCTTCCCACCAAAGATGGTCCCTATTTTTCTACTTGCATTTTTTACATGCTTTCGAACTGCTAGGTTGGCAGAAGCTGGAACAAGTGACGGGAGCTCACCCTGTTACGCGGCACTAGGGATTTGAACCGCTGAACTGCCAACCTTTTGATCGACAAGCTCAGCATCTTAGCCACTGAGCCACCGCGTCCCTTATGTTCTATATAGAGAGCCCCAATTAATTCCGACTAGGTGAAGTTTTTGGGCACTTTCCAAAGGCAACTACATTACAATACAAGAAAAGTTACTGCAACATAATCCATTTACTTCAGAAAAGATTACATCTACTGTAATAGATGTTACCAGTTGAGCATCCAGATGAAATAAGCTTATAATGAGACTTCATATTCACTATAAGAATGAATATGGAATGGGTGTACTTACGAATTAAGTATTACACTTGATTTCTTATGACAATGGGACAGATTCTTTCTTTTTTTAATTGCAGGGTGGCCCATTTGTTGAAATCTTCAGTGCTCAAGGCAAGAACACTGGGACCAAATGGAAAATTTCTGGCAATCCTTCAGTTATAGGGAAAGTATGTTTTGGAAAGAAATGGTAAAAGCTTGATTATAAAGTATAGAGCTTAATTTTTTTTTTCTTTAAAAAAACATGAAAGCTTTTGAGTAAAGTGACAAAATTAGTGGACCAGAGGAATGCTGTCAGTATTATTTACTTGGACTTCAGTAAAGCATTTGATAAAGTAGACCATAACCTACTACTAGATAAAGTAGAAAAATGTGGGTTAGACAGCATCACCACCAGATGGATTCGTAACTGGCTCTAGAAAGAGTGCAGAGAAGAGCAACAAAGATGATTAGGGGACTGGAGGCTAAAACATATGAAGAACGGTTGCAGGAACTGGGTATGTCTAGTTTAATAAAAAGGACTAGGGGAGACACGATAGCAGTGTTCCCATATCTCAGGGGCTGCCACAAAGATGAGGGAGTCAAGCTCTTCTCCAAAGCACCTGAGGGCAGGAGAAGAAGCAATGGGTGGAAACTAATCAAGGAGAGAAGCAATTTAGAACTAAGGAGAAATTTCCTGATAGTTAAAACAATTAATCAGTGGAACAACTTGCCTGCGGAAGTTGTGAATGCTCCAATTTTTAAGAAGATGTTGGATAACCATTTGTCTGAAGTGGTGTAGGTTTTCCTGCCTAAGCAGGGGAGTTGGACTAAAAAACCTCCAAGGTCCCTTCCAATGCTGTTATTCTATTCTATTCTATTAAAAAAATTATCTCTATCATTCCTTTCATCAGAGCAGAATAACTGAGAACAGGAAATACTATTTGATGCCTACAAGCAGATAAAACTTGCTGTATTTAAGATCTTCAATGTTTTTGTTTCTGTAAGTTTTGAATATATTTTGGCGGGGTGGTGGTATAAATATTTATTTTTATTTGGTAAATTTATATAACCACCCATGTCATAGACAGCATATAACACTGTGCAGTATACAAAATAAAGATATTTATTTGTTTGTTTCTTTATGTTTACTAAATAATAAAACAAACTTTTAGTCTATTAAGAAAATGAAGATCTCTAGTCAGGAAATATATTGATTAGGACTAAATAAAATAATTTGGGGCATGTTTTCAAGATATCTGGTAAATTCCAGGCTTTTTCACAAAATAAGAGATATAGAGGAGGAGGATGGAAGGAAGGTGGTTACTGATATCCTCATCAAGCCTACATGGTCAGCATCTTAAATAAATTATTCACTCCTAAATATAGTTTAAGTTTTAGTTTCACTTACTTAAACTAATTGCATGAAACTGCTCAGACTTTTCTTGATATGGATAAAATGGTGAAGCAAGCAACTGTTTTAATATGGCAGGTTGCTGTCAAGACAGAAAAACCAATAAAATAAATATGGTAAATGTTAGTGAAATGAAGGATGATGTTTTGACATACTAAGTGGAAGATGGCCCTGACATCCTAACTGCAAAGCCATTTTTCACAAGAAAGAGTTATTTTTACTGGATCCTGTGTGCATTTTCAGAAGTATGCTACACTGGGTAGTGAATTTAACATATATTAACTTCTAACATCAGAGTACAGGCTTTGCATTGATTCCATTTAATACTCCAGCTTTCCATTTGTATTAGACTTATAGAATACCATTTAAGCGTAGTGGCAATTCCTGACCTAAACCAAACATCACTCACCTTAACAGTTACAAAGTATGAATGTGGCTAACCATTTCCGTCGTAGGCAAATAGGCATTATGACTAATAAATCCTGCAGATTATGTGTTTATTCAGCTGCGTGAGATATTTTGATGATGACACACTTTTTGTTGGTTTGTTAGGAATATGATAAGGAAGTGAAAGGTTTCGTCTTTGTGCTGGAAGGAAGCGGTCAAACCAACAAGATGCAGCTTCCAAAAGAAACTAAGCAAACTCGTAAGTGTACAAGTATTATAAAATGTCATAAAACATATTAGACTGTATGATGTTTTCAGAGCAAGTCGTGCGCAAAGTATATTAATAGGAACAAAACATCCCTTTATGAAGCTTCAAAGCAGCCTTGCCCTTCCGAAGACTCATGAAGCTGTTCCCCAGTCGTATGTTTCACTAAGTGAATTGTCTGTTCAAGCACACAAACAGGAAGATAGCTGGAAAGTGCTTTCCGAGCAGCTACACAATCATTCCAAAGGTCGTAGTTGTGTTAAATGCTTCTTGCAGAATTATTTTGATTACACAAATGTGTTTGTGAAGCAGCTGTTTCTAGTGCTATTCACAGCCCTAGCTGTTAATTAAGTTAGCATTGGATTATCTGAATAATAGTTGGCTAGTTACAGTTTGAGCTGTATTTCTTCAGCACTAAAGTTAAAAAGGAAAGAAAAAATAGAGTGAGACCTTTTAGAGCATATTGAATCTTCCCTGAATTTTAGGGGTGGTTTGGCAATTTCCAGTTTCTCTGGAACGTTTAATTTTTGAATTGGTACGTCTCTAGTACATGTATATATCACTTTTATATTGTCAAAGAGATTTTCATTTTTTTTTCTTTGAATACTTTTTCAGGGATTGTTAAGTTGATAGAGCAAACAATGAAGTAATATCATCCTAAAGATGTAGTTAAACGTGATGGATATTCTTTCAATTTCACCTAACATTATCTATTATTTTCATCAGCAAGAATCAAAAAATATTTTATACCTATAAGATGAGTCCAGATTGCTTCAATTGTAGGGATATTCTAATGCTACATAACATTTCATAAACTTGCATTCTCAACTAAATACAATAACTAAATTCTTTGGGAGCTACCCTTGGTATTTCCATTTGTCATATAATCTATCAAGCATTACTTAACTTTTATATCCATACATGATGGAAGCCTGCTGCTAAATCAGTATGTCTATGCTGAAAACCTTGAAGTTCACCAAGGCCATAAAAACATTAGAAAGCAAACACTTGTTCTTAGGTTAAGCACTTAAACACACTGAAGCCAAAGGTTCATATACTGTCCTTCCAAATACTAGAAGAGAAGAAATTTTCATCACAAAACAATAATATAGTTTTTAAGGCTTGACATTCAGTAACCATTGTGCATAAAGACTTCTCCATAAATTATAAGGATTAGGTCATTCTTAAAAAGGCTATTCTTACTACACAACTCCCAAAATGTTTTCCATGGCAAAGCATTTGCTTCAGCTCCTGTATCAAATTTAAATTTTACTTCAATCTACTTTTACATGAAATCAGTAAACCATCAGTAAACCAAAAAGGAAAAGCTTTTTAAGTTAATTATAAATAGATGTAGAATCTAATAATTCTCCATTAAACAAGTTGCTTATATCTAATCACAAACACTATATTGTTTTTCATTACTATGCAGTGACCTGATTTACATGCTTTAAGACTTTTTCTGCCCTATTTATGACAAGATTTTCTCAAATGCAAAACAATTCCAAGGCTAATTTACTGTCCCACTACAGAGACCCAGACTTATTCAGTTTTGATTACTGCTGCCTTTAGCATGTAATTTCTCAGATCTAAAAACATTTATAGGAGCCTTTTTCCATTTCTTTCCAATGATTGTTACTATCTGCCACTTCTTGGTGGATATTCATCTAATTGTACTTATCTTGAAATGGCTTTTGGTTATTTCAACTGCATAGGATATATTAATTCCCCACCACCACCATTCGATCTTCAAAAGGCTTTCCTTTATTTTTCTGCTTCCTATATTGATTATAAACCTCTCACTGTGTCAAAAGGTATTGACTAAAATTCACCTTTTGAGTTATATGACGAACCTTTCCATAATGTCTACCAAAATTTGCATATATTTTCAAAATGAATCACAGCATTCCTGCAAGGTGTGCAGTATATTCTAGCCCTTGACAAAAAAAATCTTCAATGTAATTTGGAACTGCAGTGTCTTTAAAAAAAAACTTCAAAAGAATTATATATTGTTAGGGCTTCCTCCCCACACAGTGTAACAAGAAATATTTCTTGAGTGTACAATTTCTTTGAGAAATCCACTATCCTACTTGCAGCCAAATGCAAATAAAGCTTCTGTTTCCAGCATTTCCCATTCTGGGATAAATTCCCTTGAATTACAAGTGGAAAATAAGGCCTTGAAGTGTATATACTCATAGGTACTGCTTCACTAATTCGCCATTAGAATCCAAACAAGCTTCTGATACTCTGTAAGTGCTGGCCACTTACTTAAAACTCAAATAAGTCCTGGAGCAAAGAAATACTTATTACCGGGTTGTACAAAAACAAGTATAAGAAAGGTTGGAGAGCAAGCAAAAGTGGTAGAAGGAAATAAAAAAGCTACTCCACACTCATTGTGTCAAGTTTTTGTTAAAGGCACAATACAGCATACTTACAAAAAAAAACCAACCCCCAAAAAAACCTCTTTGGGCATTTGCAGAAAAAGGGCTGCCCTGGGAGACTTTTGCTTCCTTGCAAGATTGGTTTCATAAGGGGCATGACCGGTCACAAAACATTTGTTTGCTATTAGGGCTTTAGTTCCTAATTAGGACTTTAGCTCCCAGGCTTCTTCCTAACAATTTATTTTTGTCTGTCTTGGCTAGTTGGGTGCTTTTCTCAACAAAACATTGAGCTGCATTCCCAGTCAAACAGTAAATTCCTTGCTTTAGAAGAAAAGTGGGCCATTTTAAAAGAGGATAGTTTAGACATGCACATGATCTGCGTTTAAGAATGAAATATCCCTTCCTGTACAGATGATCCTTACTTAACAACCATAATTGGGACTGGGATCTCAGTTGTTGAGCAAAGCGGTCATTAAGCAAGATGCCCATGTGCTTCATTCAACAACTCCAATCCCAGCACTCTCAGTAGCACACTCACATTTGCGAACTGGTAGGGAAAGTAAGTGAATACCATCTCTGAGCCAAGTTTAAACCTTTCAATTTGTCTGGATGTTTTAATGGCATCCTACTTTCAAAGTATTGTATGACTTACGTTTTTCAATTAACATTACAGTTTGCTATTAAGACAAAAAAATAAAACAATGCATCTGTAATGAGAAATGAAAATTTAAATTATTGACGCATTTGGGACAACATGCTTAACTTTAATTTGAGAATTCTTATTTACCTAAGGCTTTATTGTGATGTTTATGTTTGAAGCAATTTAAATTTGAATTATCATTTTTTCTTGATTGAAATGGAGATTACAATCTGCCTCTTCCTGTTTTGTAAATTTATTTCCATTTTTATTCTGCATGTTTAAAATCAAGACGTTAGAAGAACATTTGCAGGTTTAAAAATTGTATAAGGAGTAAAAACAGGTGAAATTGAAATTTCGTAATATTTATATGAGCCTTGTCACTCTATTCATTGTTCTTCAAATATGATTTGTGATGTAGATTAAAGAGTTTACAACATTTTTACAGCAACACAGGGAATAAAGGAAAGTTTTCTAAAATGTGATAAACCATGTCCACCTAGCTCAGGATTGATTTACTGACAGGGATTCCCCAGAGTTCCCTTCCTGTATCTGGAGATACAAGAAATTAAACCTGGGATGTTCTGGAATCTGCATGTAAAATTTTGAGTAATTCCAGCAGCAATGCCTCCTTTCTGCTTGAACTATGTCTTAAAATTGCTTATAGGTGCTATAAGTTAAGTGCTATAAGAAAAAAACAACAACTCCAGGCTATAATTCCACCATATATCCAATATAGGTAGTCCTCGATTTACAACAGTTCATTTAGTGTCCATTCAAAGAACAACGGAACTGGGAAAAAAATTACTATCATTTTTCATACTTACAACCATTACAATATTTCCATAGTCATGTGATCAAAATTTAGAATCATATTTATGACGGTTGCAGTGTCCTAAAGTCACGTGATTTCCCTTTTGCGACCTTCTGACAAGCAAAGTCAATAGGGAAGCCAGATTCACTTAACAACCGTGTTAGTAACTTAACAACTGTAGTGAGTCACTTAACGACTGTGGCAAGAAAAGTCGTAAAATGGAGCAAAACTCACTCAACAGATGTCTCACTTAGCAACCGAAATGTTGGGCTCAATTGTGGTCATAAGTCAAGGACTATGACCACAAGACAAGACAAGAGGACAAGAGCCTTGATAGTACAGTGGTTTAATGCACCCTGTTATTAACACAGCTGCCTGCAATTTCTGCTGGTTCGAATCTCTCCAAGGCTCAAGGTTGACTCAGCCTTCCATCCTTTCTAAGGTAGGTGAAATGAGGACCCAGTTTGTGGGGGCAATAAGCTGACTTTGTATAAAATATACAAAAGAATGAAGGCTATTGCTTAACGCATTGTAAGCCGCCCTGAGTCTCCGGAGAAGGGCGGCATATAAATCAAATTTTTAAAAAAAAGGACTACCTGTACAGTTGTTAAACCTGGTGATTAGAGCATATTTTTTTCATTGCTGTTTTCGTACTAAATATTGTTAATTCAAACTGAATAAGTTGAGATTCTATGCTATAGTTCCCCAATTCCTGTGATTCGCAAAATTCAGTTATTTTTCAAAAGAATATAGCAAGGGCCCAGTACAATCAGTTTAAGGTCCAACATACAGCTTAGAGTGGTAAGTCTTGGGAGACTTATCAGCCTATTGACTAACCAAAGCAGGCAGGCAGGCAGACAGGTAAGTATCTAGAGCGTCAGTTCCATTAAGGTTCACAATGAGATGGTCTTAGAAAATTAAGAGGATTTTCTTTCAGAATTGGCAGCTTCTATTTAGATTTCATACGAGTGTTAAAGCAGCTTCAAGGGCAATACATTCAGATTTTGTTCAGGCTTTATTCCTGAAAGCCATTTTCGCTTGTGAGTGGGTTTTGATTTTACAAGAATCTTTGCTGTTAAATTTCCAATTTAAATTACCCATTTCATTTCAAACATTCAGATTAAATTAAACCCTTACTTGTCCACAGTTTTTCTAAACTTGATTCTGCTGGGGTATTAACTGCTTTAAGTGGTTCAACTGAAGTTTATGTTGGTCATCTGTAGGTTCAATTATTTTGCGTTTTTGCAAGAATTTGTGTCACAATGTTAAGACATTAATTAATTTTGTGTCCATGTAGAATATATTTTGAATATGCACTTTGTCAACACAGTGGAAAACTAAATAAAATAATTAGATTCCATGTTTTGTTCTAGTTCTACTCGGAGCACAATTTGTTTTTAAGAACATATTTCAAAAATAATTAAATTCTATTTTTTTTTTATTTTCATAGTAGGTACATTTTGAGAAATATGAAAGTAATACATGAATATTCATGTTATTCTTAATTTATTTCTTTTGTTTTGCTGTAGTTGGACTGATCCAGCAATTTTTGGTACTTCAAATGTACATACCACTGGGACAAGATTTCTCAGCCGAGTTACTGTAAGATAATATTGAACTTTATTATCATGTTTGATGCGCTGTAGATACTAAGCAAATAAGTTAATACTGGCTGCTGTTGATTAAATGTAACAGCTTTTAGGTTAATGACATAATCAAACTGATATAGAATAATTCATCTTATTTGGTTGCTGTTAGATGATTTTAAGCATTTTAAATCTTTTAGAAGATTTAAGCATATTTGTCATACTGAAAATACTGTATATTAATAAATTTATTATTATAAATAGTAATCAGGTAACTAGTTCCTGATTTTAGGAACAGACCTTAAATAATTACTTTTGACATTTTAAAAGAGTGAGATAAATTTATTCTTCTTCAGCCTTGATTTATTTATTCATTTGTTTTGGTTTGAAAATGCCTGGAAAATGCAGTGCCAACACAATAGCAATAGCACTTAGTCTTATATACCGCTTCATAGTGCTTTATAGCCTTCTCTAAGTGGCTTACAGAGTCAACATATTGCCCCCAACAATCTGGGTGCTCATTTTACTGACCTTGGAAGGATGGAATGCTGAGTCAACCTTAAGCCAGTGAGGATCAAACTCCTGGCAGTCGGCAGAATTAGCTTTGCAATACTGCATTCTAACCACTACGCCGCCATGGTAGTCCTTGACTTACAACCATTCATTTAGTGACTGTTAGGGATTAGGGTAGCACTGAAAAAAGTGACATGAACATTTTTCACATTTGCAACCATTGCAGCATCCCTATGGTCACATGATCAAAATTTAGACATTTGGAAACTGGTTCATATTTATGACGGTTACAGTGTCCCAGGACTGTGTGATCACGGGGGGCCGTGTGGGGGCATCTGCCTTTTGGAATGAACTGCCCCCGGACATACGCAAGATCTCTGACCTCCGAGTTTTCCGCTGTGCTCTTAAGACCCTGCTCTTCCGACAGTCAGGGCTAGCTTCATAATTGAGTTTTAAATTTGGAATTCTTAAATCTTTGGGTTTTTTAGCTAATTGGCCTTGAATGTAATACTTTTAATAATTTTTAATTTTTAATTGTGATATTTATATTGTGTTTGTACTGGCTGTACACCGCCCTGAGTCCTTCGGGAGAGGGGCGGTATAGAAATAAAATTATCCTATCCTATCCTATCCTATCCTATCCTATCCTATCCTATCCTATCCTATCCTATCCTATCCTATCACCTTTTGCGACCTTCTGATAAGCAAAGTCAATAGGGAAGACAGATTCACCTAAAAACCATGTTCCTAAGTTGACAACTAGAGTGGTTCACTTAACAACTGTGGGAAGAAAGGTCATAAAACGGGAAAAGGCTCACTTAACAACTGTCTTGGCAACAAAAATTTTGGGCTCAATTGTCATAAATTGAGGACCTGTAGATTATTTATGTCATCCCCACTAGGTAGACCGGACCAGAAAATGAACTCCACAGATGATTAAACGTATTTTTATTGCGATTGGCTATCATAACAGAATTTTGCAAGTTTGGTCGTGCTATTCCTCCTCCTCCTCCTCCTTCTCCTCTTCCTCCTCCTCATAGTTAAGGAAATGGAGGGCTTAAAATGCTTCAGCCCTATCTATCTAGCTATCTGTCTGTCTGTCTGTCTGTCTGTCTGTCTGTCTGTCTGTCTGTCTATCTTTTATCTATCTATTTTAAAGACCACCCATCTTATCTTAAGGTAACTTATGGTCCTGTTCCTCTACAATTTGGTTGGTGAAAGACACAAGTAAAATCATGTTTCACTGTTATGATTTTTTTTATTGCTCATATAAACCTTGTTTTTAGATTATGAGTTTGACGTTTTATTCATTTTATTAGCCTTGAGCTTTTTCGAAGGAAGGCAGTGAGATGCATTTTAAATAAATATTTTCAACTGCTTCTATAGAAACTCAGAGACTCTACAGTAACGTTTAATGGGTTATATTTCTCCCTCTTTTTTCTTCCCTTATGTCTGCTTAGAATACTGAACATAAAACATAAAAATAACCACATATTTCTGCCACCAAGTAAACAGATACTGAAAGGATTTTGTAATACTGAAATAAAGGAGTTGTAAAGTGTTGTTATAAAAGAAAAAGTCTAATCCATTATTGATAAAATGTTAAAGATTGCATTTGGGCGCTTTTAATCTTGGGCACCTACACTCAAGTGTTTTGTGTCCTTAAATCTCATTTATTTCTATATAGCATAGACTTACCTTGTCTCAGCATATCATTGCTATAGAGGAAATAACTGGAAAGTATTCACACGTTGTCCCTAGCATTTGTCCTGCTTGGTTGGAGAGTCCTGTACTTTGTCCCGTACTTGCTGCAATTCACACAGAAATGTGATGCCTGCATGAAGCAATGAAGAGTTTTGTTTCTCAGCAAGCTTGTCATAGAGCCTCATCATTGGAAGCTTTCAAGAAGAGACTGGACTGCCATCTGTCAGAAATAGTGTAGGGTCTCTTGCTTGGGCCAGGGGGTTGGACTAGATGGTCTACAAGGTACTATTTACAATTCTGTTATTCTGTTCTGTTTTGTTCTGAGCCTGATGAGGAATAGAACTGAGAAAAGAGTGGTTGGCCAAGGTATCCAGCTGTTTTCCTTGCCTAAAGGAGGATTAGAACCTAAGGCCACCTTGCTCGGATCCAGCACCTTAACTATTACCCCACACCATCATTAAAATAGTTTAATTATTTAAATTGGCACAGTGGTTAGAGTGCAGTATTGCAGGCTACTTCTGCTGATCACCGGCTGACTGCAATTTGGCAGTTCACATCTCACCAGGCTCAAGGTTGACTCAGCCTTCCATCCTTCCCAGGTGGGTAAAATGAGGACCCAGATTGTTGGGGGCAATTATGCTGACTCTGTAAACCGTTTAGAAAGGGCTGTGAAGCACTGTGAAGCACCATATAAGTCCAAGTGCTATTGCTAATTCTCCATTGTAAAAAGAGAATGTAAATTCAGTTGTGAGCTTGACTTCATGAACATCTCCAAGGACTTCCGTCTACTACAAGTTACTTTTTTTTCTATTTTCTGGTTGAAGTGCACCAGAAGTCCCACTAGTTTCATGTTCCAAGGCTTATATATTAGAAACTCTGAACAAGCAGTCCTCAATTTAAAGCCACAATGGAGACTAGAATTTCTGTTGTTAAGCAAGGTGGTTGTTAAATGAATCAGACCCAATATTATGACCTTCTTTGCAACGGTTGTTCAGTGAATCACTGCAGTTGTTAAGTGAATCCTGTGGTCATTAACAGATTCTGACTTCCCCCATTGACTTGTCAGAATCTCCCTAAGAAGGTTGCAAATGACAATCCCAGGAGCCTGGAACTCTGCGACCATTGTACATACATGTCGGTTGCACGCAAAGTTTGATCACGTGACAGTGGGGATACTGCAGTGGTCGTAAATGTGTGAAAACTGGACATAAGTCACTTTTTTCAATGCCGTCATAACTTTGAAAGGTCATTAAACGAATGGTTGTTAGCCAAAGACTACCTGTGTTTGCAAACTAAATCACTTCAAAAAGACATTTGAATATTCTCGCTGAAGGTTTCTGTAGTGTGTCATAAAATGCAATGTTTGTAAATCACTAATTTATATATTGGATCATGTGGAATGGAACATACTATATCGTGGTGCAGTGGTTAAAATGCAGTATTGCAAGCTAACTCTGCTGACTACCAGCAGTTCAATCCTGACTCAAGGTTGACTCAGCCTTCCATCCTTCCGAGGTCGGTAAAATGAGGACCCAGATTGTTGGGGGCAATATGCTGACTCTGTAAACCATCCAGAGAGTGCTGTACAACACTGTGAAGCGGTATATAAGTCTATGTGTTATTGCTATATGGTTTTTTTATTAATTAGATTGTTATCCTGCCTTTATTATTTTATAAGTAACTCAAGGCAATGCTCACAGCTAGTACTCCTTCCTCCTTCTCTTTTCTTCATAATAACAACCCTGTAAGAGCCCTGTAAGGGCTGAGAGAGAATGTCTGGCCCAAGTCTTTTTATAAAGTGTTCTTTGTTTTTAAAATACATTTTTAACTCTATGATGTAGACTTTCTTACTGCAGAAAACTCTGAACTCTTCCAACTTTGCACTCTATTTCATTCAAATCTGCCTTGCATTGGGCCTATACATTTTTTAAGAGCCAAAGTGACTTTATTATTTGAGGATTGACTCCTGAAGGTTCCTAGCTAGCCCTTTGCTTATTGAACTTTGAATCAGATGTTTATCTCATCTATCGGTATTGGTAATGATGCCCTAAAAGCATTATAGACATTTTTATAAAGTTCTGCATTGATTTCTTAGTGAACTACTTGGCTAAAAGGTATGTTATTGTATCTGAAGAATTTTATAGTGTTCCTCTAAATAAATACCATAAGCATTCCCTAAATCCTCAACCTTTAGGAATCATTAAAGCACTTCATATTCTATAAAAATCAATTATCTCCATGTCAGTTACACAGAAACATGATACATTAGAAAATAATGCATTAAACCCTATTTGCAGAAGTAGGTATCTTAATATTAAGTTACAATTCTAATAGCAGAAAATAGTATTTAACATTAATTTCCCCACGCACATAGAATTCAAGAGATTTCTGCACCATTGTACAAGAGTTTATATAATTTCTTTTATAGGAATTAATAGTATTATAATTGTAAATCCTGTATAGACAGATTGACATTTGTGATTTTTTTTCTCTTCATGTGTCATTTACATTGTAATGAAGTGACAGATGACAGCTGTGATTATGTTTTTTAGAATTTTTGATGAAGCCTATAATAATAATAATACCTTAGTGATTAGCCATAAGAAGCTATTCAAATATAAAATACAAATGAACAATAAGAAAGACAGAGATTGACACTCGATCAGCAATCAAGAAGTAAACAATACCCCATCAAAGAACTAGCAACGCAAACATACAAGCTAATGGTAAAACAATAGCCTAATCAAGGAATCACCACGACCACTCCCACCAACATTGACAGGGCAAGCCACTAGCACA